CTTTTTTCTTTTTGCTTATGTGGTGCTGAGGAATCGAACCCAGGGCCTCATGCATGCAAGGCAAGCGCTCTACCACTGAGCCACCTTCCCAGCCCCTATGATAATTATTTTTAAGTCAAACAATAGGAATAGACCTACCTCCTAGATTTATTTGCTTTGACTAAAACACTCAAACCACTAATAGCTATAACACACAAAGTCATCGCATAAGTCACTGTTAATTACAGTGTGTCTAGAAGTATATACAAAGGACAAACTTCTACCAAAATAAACTAAAATATCATAGACAGCTCAAATAACTTGTTAATTTCTTGAAAATCCATTAACATAACTATCATCAACTAATATTTTTAGTAATTGACTCTGAAATGATCTCTATAAGAAAAATGTACAGGCAAGACGTATCAGCTCCTTTTCATTTTACTTTATTGATTTTACTTTATTACTTATTTGTTTGTTTACTTGGGGATAGGACGGGAGCAAGAACTTTACCATAAAGCTATACCATGGGTCCAGTTCCTATTTTTAAAAAAAGAAAATCATGTAGAGATATAAAAATAAAAGAAAGCTTTTTCTTCTCCAAGAATGGATCTGCCTAGGCATGATGCTAAGCACTTATAACCCAGCACTCCAGAAGTGCAAGTTGAAGACCACTCAGGCAAAAATTAGCTAGAGACCCTCTCTGAAAAATAAGCTAAAACAATTTTAAAAGACTGAAGACACAGCACAAATGTTAAGAAACTTACTTAGCAGGCATCAAGCCCTGAATTCAAACCCTAGTACTGGAAAAAAAAATTAAGACATTCATTCTATCACTACTAGAGAGCTCCAATAGCTTCTCTATCTACCTTCCTTTAAAAAGCAAGTCACATAAACTCCCTCAAGAACATATCTTTAGGCATAGAAAGCACTTAATTTTTATAATTTTTATGGGTGAATGGGTAAGCCACTCAAGCACGGAGAAACACCTCTTACAGATGCTTCCACGATGTTTCTGCAAACACCCTTCCAACTGATGTCAGGGTTCTGACCCTAATTTTAAAACTCTGACATCAAACCTTGAATGAAGACAGAAAGAAAAACCTTGACCTTAGAAGATAACAATGATAACTGACATCTCCTCAGTTCATGGATGTTTATTTTATTACTTACAACATCTTTTAGCATCCAACAATCCCTGGCTAAGGACAGAACATTTCTCCCTCACCACAGCCTAACCTTGTGACAGAAAAGACAAAAGTGTGAAGTGTGAAGTGATAGAAACAAAGTTGAGGCAAGTCTGGAAAGAGTCATGTAAAGCTATTTTGTCACCAGGAATGACAAAAATGCTAAACAAATCTGATATTCAGAGCTTAATACCTGCTCTCAGTGGCAAATGCATAAGGCTACTTAATGCTCTATGAATTACTGGCCATGATAGGTGGAAGAAGTTTAGTGAAAATTTAGTATAATCCTAGCTTTCTGTTATCATTTAAGATTTCCAGAAAGGTATATTCTAGGGTTAGGTTTAGTTCCTAGAGGACTTTAAAGCTGCTATACCTTATTAACACATAGCTGGAACTAAGAGTCCTCCTGCCATTTTTAGTGCCAGTCCTGAAGCTTGATCGGGGCTAGGGCGCTGTCTCTGAGCTTATTTTTGTACAAGGATAGCGCTTTACCACTTGAGCCACAGTTCCACTTCCAGCATTTTTGGTAGTTTAATGAAGATACAGATTTTCCTGCCCACGTTAACTTCAAACTGTGATCCTCAGATCTCAGCCTCCTGAGTAATGCCTGGCTAATAAGAGTCCATTTTTTAAGTATAATGGGTAATAATTTGAAAGGATTACATGTAGAGACAACATGTAATGTATGAAGTTAAATGGATGTTTATAGAAGACTCAATTCCCTGGACCACATGGATTTGAGAGCTTAGAAAACAGAAGTCTTCCCCTATTGCCAAGAGTTATAAAATAAGAAACTCAACAAAGGACAAATGTTCTCAATAAGATACCCGCCCACCCCACCCCCACCCCCCAACCCCACTTCTTTCTCCTATGTCAGCAGTCATCTTTTTCCAAACAAGAAACAATAGACTTGAGAACTGAAGGCATGGCTTTAATGGTAGAGCACCTGCAATGAGCAAAATCAAACAAGTAATCAAGAGCTTGAGGGTCTAAGTACCAGCAAACACAAAAAATAATATGCATACATACAAGTCCTTCTTAATAACTATTTTCTTCTTCAGCTCCCATCTTTCCTTATTCTACTTTACAAGATCATCTCCTATAAAAATCTGAGCTTATATTTAAGATCTGAATTTCTCTTTGATTATATTCTTTCCAATCAGCTTTCCTCTTCTCCACTCCACCAAATCAGCTCACAAAGTCACTAATGTCTTCTCACAACCAAATCTAATAGTCATTTCTCATCTAAGCATTCTATCAGTAGCATTCTGATATAACTGACACATAATTCAACTGGATTCCTGGATCTCTATTTCTACAATCTTCTCTACTTCACTCCTCCCACATCAACCTCTAAACACTGGAATATAACACCTGAGTTTAATCCCAATATCTCTTTTCTTTACAACACTCCCCAAGTAATATCACCCAAGTTTATGACTTTAATATTTATGTTTTTGGGGAAGTCATGATATATATGACTTCCAAGTGTTATATCTGTATTCTAGACATCCTTCTAATTCAAATTTAATGTAGCAAACTACCACAAACAAAACCGGAGTCCTGATTTTGAGCTCTTGCCTCAATATTTATTGTTCATTTCGAGTTTCACACCAAAATCTCCATAACTATATTACTACTTTCTTTCTCACCTCACATTTCCAAATTCTGTTGACTCTACCTGCAAATTATACCATGAGTCCAGCTACTAGTTACCTCACCCCACTACACCACCACTACCATAACTGGGCTGAGCCTCCATTATCTCTAGGTGGGACAACTTGCTTCAGACCTTCTTCAGATGCAGTTTAACCTCATCCCAACAGACAACATGACACTTTCAACACTTTTCTCAGACTATGATCCTCATTTGTTTGAAATTCTCAAATGAGAACTGTAGCTCCTTTATGAAGTAACCTTACAAGGGAACAAGTCAGCAAAGACAAAAACAGGTAAGGAAGCAAAATATCTCAGGCAAGGAGAAGAACAAGTATGAAAGGACTGAAGTAGAAGTGTGCCTGTATGGTCAGGGAATAGCAGGAAGCAGTGTATTAATGAAGCAAATAAGCAAAAATATTGATTGAAATTCAACTTGGAACGTTCCTCCACATTATAGGCAATTTCTAATCCCCTGTCATATATGCAATACTCATTCATAAAATCATTTAACACTAAAGTGACTACTACAAGTACGTGGTATTTACAAAGTATGGTACACTAGTTAAGTGATTTAGGCAACATTAAAGCAGTCATTAAAAAAATATCATAGGAGCCACATGCCAGTGGCTTACTCCTGTGTTCCTACCTAATCTGGAAGCTGAGGTGTAAGGATCACAGTTCAAAGTCAACCTTGGCAGGAAAATCTATGAGATTCTTATCTTCAATTAACTACCAAAAAGCCAGAAGTAGAGCTGTGCCTCAAGTGGCAGAGTACTAATCTTGAGCAGAAAAAGCTCAGGGACTGTTCCCAGGCCCTGAGTTCAAGAACCAGGACTGGCACAAAAACAAAACAAAATAAACAAACAAAAAAAAAACACACATGTGATTCAAAGCATTTGGGGAGTATAGTTAAAGAGATGGTAATAGGGGCTGGGAAGGTGGCTCAGTGGTAGAGCGCTTGCCTTGCATGCTCGAGGCCCTGGGTTCGATTCCTCAGCACCACATAAGAAAAAAGAAAAAGAGCCGGAAATGACGCTGTGGCTCAAGTGGTAGAGTGCTAGCCTTGAGCTGAAGAGCTGAGGGACAGTGCCCAGGCCCAGAGTTCAGGCCCCACAGCCGGACCCAAAAAAAAAAAAAAAAAAGGGATGGTAATAAATCAAACTCAATTTATTTTTTCATTTGCAATTTATAAAATCAGACTATTTTCCAACAAACAGCCATTTCTACTTTCTAAACTGTTGATGTTTAGGTTAAAATAGTAATTTAAAAGCTTTTAGTTTATTAAAGTCTATGGTCCATGTGTCTATATATGTACACACATTTGTACACATATGTGAAAAATGAAATAAAAGATAGGATTTTTTTAATTGAAAGATCTTTTATACATATAAGGTAATAGGAAAAAGAATTACATATTTAGCACTTGAACTCATTTTAACAACTAGTTATTTTAGTTCACCCACTACTTTTTAGCTCTTTGCTCTGTTTTAGTTTTTGCGATATATTTTTATCCTATCACTTATTTTAGGCCAGACATTCTTTTAAAAACTCTCAGATGATCTCTATGTTGTCA